TATATATATATATATATATATATATATATATAAAATTTGTGACCAGTCTTCATAAACAGAATGAAAAGTACATTTGTAATATAAAATTTGTTTTATTTTTTTAAATGAATTTCATTAAACATATTTAATTAAAATGTTATCCGTAACAGTCCTTAATATTTTGTTTATGTGATCCACTAAAAATCAGCATTATAAATACTTATTTTAACATCACCTCTAATGAAAATGTAATGTAATGTTCAGTGAGTATAAAGTAAGAAAATGATAAATAAAGAAAATTATTATGAATCAGTGTTATTTTAGGATTGAGATACTATTATAGCTTTTATTAATATTTTGAATTCGTTTTTATTTTATTTTTTTCATTCTGATTATACCTTTAGTCAAAATTGTAGTAGTTTTGTTAAGTGTTTTTGTCATTTGTATATATATATTTTTAAATATGTCTATATAGTTCTTCATTTTTATTTTAGTTATTTTAGTAAAAGTTAAACTAAATTAAAATGAGAAATGTTGCCTCAGGCAACTAGCTGAAATAAAACACTTTTTTATTTTTATTTTATTGTATTTCTTTCAACATTTAGTTTAAAGTATCAGAAATGTTTTGTATGGTTTTAGTTCAGTTAATAATTGCCCTGTTATGCATAAATATATAAAGCAATAAACATGCATGACAGTAATTGGCACAGGCTTAGTTGTTGGTTCTGTGTTCATTTCCTGTTCCAGATGTTCCCCTGCGATGGGATGAGTAATATCACCTCACACCCAAACACATTAATCACAGCAGCTGTATGCATGGAATCATTCTGAGGTTATTATCCTTTCAAATGTTATTGTATGCATTGAAAGACTGGAGACAAAACAGCTTATTAAAACCTATTAAGTTTAACTGAAGCCATTATTCATTATTCCATCAAACTAAACAAGAAAGTGAGCAGACAGACCAGCCAGAAGAATTAGTTTCTCTTTTATGATCGTCTTAAGTGTGTGTTTGTGCCTACCAGGGGCGTAGATTACGCGGGGGACGTGTCCTCCCCACTTTTAATATCACGTAAATTCGTCCCCCGCACTTTTTCGGGCAAGTGTGTTCGCATAGAGGTTTTCAAGAGCCGGTGTGAATAAATATAGATTTAAATTCAAAGAGACAGTATAGTCTGTGCATGATCTTATGTTTTATTCGGACCCAGAATAAGGCGAGATGAACATCGCGGAGCGCTAAACACTCCGTGCAGTGTATGTTTCATTCATACTCGAAGCCGGAGGGCGCTCTCGCGCAGAAAGTCGTACGAGGAAATTCCTAATATGGACAAAAGCGTCCAGCTATCACTGTGTGAAAACAGTAGTTTTCACAGAAAACAGAAACGTTTGGAAACATGAAGACATTAAACTATATATATAACATTTCTGTCCCCCTCACTTCTGAAATGATGGCTACGCCCCTGGTGCCTACAGAGTAAATCTAACCCACATTAAAACCAAAAATTCAGGTGCTACTCAAACACATGATATAGTATCAGTTGTGAAAGGAAGTTGCACAACATCCAGATACCAATCAGCTTAGTGCACAGCATCAAATAAATTAGCCTTCTGGCTAAAATACATTTCAAATATATACTAAATATATGCAAACAGCATGGCTTAAAGGGGTCATATGATGCGATTTCATTTTTTCCTTTCTCTTTAGAGTGTTACAAGCTCTTGGTGCATAAAGAAGATCTGTAAAGTTGCAAAGACTAAAGTCTCAAATCCAAAGAGATATTCTTTATAAAAGTTAAGAGTTAGCCACACCTACCTAAAACGGCTCGTTCGAACACGCCCCCACATATCTACGTCACTATGTGGGAAGATTTGCATAAAGCCGCCCAAATGTCCACCCAAAGAAAGAAGGCGTAACTTTTATCCTCGCTGTAGTATTGTTGTTGCCGCCACCGC